CAGTCACACGAAATGCATCGTAGAGCGTATCGAGACATCTTATCTACTGCACAAGCCAGTCGGCGTTGCCCTTAGGTCAGTGCTTCTCGAGCCCTCAACTACAAGTACGTTTGGCGTTTTTGTCGTTTTGCAACCGCTTTGCGCGCTTTACGTTCGTTTTCATCCACGGCAGAAAGAGAATAATCCATGGTAGACATTATCATCGTGTACTTTGCATGAACTAACGCACTCATTCTTCAACGCCATCAGCGTCATCGTCAACGTATACCGTGGGCACCTTGTATGGGCTGTGCACGTGCAAACGCCCTCATTCTTCATTGTCATCAGCTTCATGGCGTATAGTGGGTACAACGGACAAGCCTAGACCCTAAGTGCTTCGGCTTTAAAAAAACATGACCACTACTAGCTACTTGCCATCCCGATCGACGGAAGCAAACAAGCGAGCAATCTATTCTACAATGAGAGTTCTAACCTGCATGAGGATGGCTTCCACCGTGTACGCAGACGCCCATCCCCGTGGAGTGAGCAGCTCCATGCAGATGGCCCCGCCTTCCATGACAAAGCCACGCTCGATGTGCGGTGCCAGCACACGCACGAACGGGGGTGCGAATGGGAAGTTATCCGGGAAGGAGACGCTCAGCTGGACGCACGACACGCCGGACTCCTGCATGTCGTGCCACAGTGGGCTCTCCGGATCCACCTGTGCGTAAAGCGATTCTGTCTGAAAGCGATCGAGCCCGTCTCCGCGTTACACTAATGCCAAGATGGACGTTCCTGGAAACATCAACTCTTAGTGAATTTCTATTTGAAGGATATATCTCCACTATTTGTAGATGTCACTAGCGTAAATAACAGGGCGATACTGCATGATCATTGAAAAAAAAAAATGAAGCGTCAATACGGTGTCCCTGTAGAAGTAAGTATTTGCGATCGTGACACTTTTAAGCCAAACTCAACATTACGATCAGCTTCGTGGTTCCTGAGGGTGTGCATGGCTAACCTGGTAGAGGCGCACATGCCACTCGTAGAGGTTGTCCTCAACCAGGTCTACGGTGAAGGAAGGTGTCTGGCCACGGGTCTGCTGTCGTCGGATCTCCTGGAGTTCGCGCATGAGCCGGCGTGCGCGCACTGCAGCCTGCTGGGAGCAGGGCGCCACCCGGTTGCGAGGGCTGCGCGTCGTGCGGGACGAGGGCACGGCCACCTCAGCCAAGTCCGCTGTAGAGTCGCCGCCTCCACCGCTGGGGGCGGCAGGACTCCCCGGGGCACGAAGTGATGCGCCTTCAGCCGCTGACTTCCGGGCCGCCTTGCCCTGTCCACGCTCTGAACAGAAGCCGGAATCTGCTTTTAATGGGTGGCATATAGTTAGTGTACGTTAGGCTATACTCGCACATGTGCAGTGGTGTCAGTTTGCCTTGCTTGACAAGACAGCGCCAGCAGCACGTTCGTTAAGCCTTTTCTGCCTCAAAAGCAAAAGTCGACCATATATATATATATATATATATATATATATATATATATATATATATATATATATATATATATATATATGTATATATAAGGGAAAGAAGTGTATACCTAAGGACTCGCTTTTCCGTGCTTTAACACAATATTAATGAGATCTAACAGACAGTAATGCCAAGGAATGTACAGGGGAAGTTATTAGAACCAATTGAATGTAAATAAGAAGAAAGAAAAGTGGATGAAAAAATAACCAGCCGTGAGCAGGAAGCGAACCTACGACCTTCGAATAACGCGTTCGATGCTCTAACCACTGAGCTATCACAGCGGCCTTCCCTCCATCCACTTTTTTGGGTTTATATGTGAATTTAGAAGTAGCAGTGACAGTCAGCGCCATATATAAGCCAAATTACGAGTGTGAAAACACTCTTATGCGCATGTTTGGCGTCACGTAGCACGTGAACTTATTATGAGCGGGCAGCTGATTAATTGCCCCTCTTATACAACCTAAACACACCAAGTCTGCCATTACGAGACTCTCGTTCAATGAAATAAGGGAAAGAAGTGTATAACTAAGGGCTCGTTTTTCCGTGTTTTAACACAATATTAATGAGATCTAACAGACAGTAATGCCAAGGAATGTACAGGGGAAGTTATTAGAACCAATTGAATGTAAATAAGAAGAAAGAAAAGTGGATGGTTAGAGCATTGAACGCGTTATTCGAAGGTCGTAGGTTCGATTCCTGCTCACGGCTGGTTATTTTTTCATACACTTTTCTTTTTTCTTATTTACATTCAATTGGTTCTAATAACTTCCCCTGTACATTCCTTGGCATTACTGTCTGTTAGATCTCATTATTATTGTGTTAAAACACGGAAAAACGAGCCCTTAGGTATACACTTCTTTCCCTTATTTCATTGAACGAGGGTCTCGTAATGGCAGACTTGGTGTGTTTAGGTTGTATAAGAGGGGCAATTAATCAGCTGCCCGCTAATAATAAGTTCACGTGCTACGTGACGCCAAACATGCGCATAAGAGTGTTTTCACACTCGTCATTTGGCTTATAGATGGCGCTGACTGTCACTCCTACTTTTAAATTCACATATAAACCCAAAAAAGTGGATGGAGGGAAGGCCGCTGTGATAGCTCAGTGGTTAGAGCATCGAACGCGTTATTCGAAGGTCGTAGGTTCGATTCCTGCTCACGGCTGGTTATTTTTTAATCCACTTTTCTTTCTTTTTATTTACATTCAATTGGTTTTAATAACTTCCCCTGTACATTCCTTGGCATTACTGTCTGTTAGATCTCATATATATATATATATATATATATATATATATATATATATATATATATATATATATATATATATATGTGTGTGTGTGTGTGTGTGTGTGTGTGTGTGTGTGTGTGTAATGTACGAAGGTAGCAGCGATTGTTGGTAGAAACTGAGGAAGAGGAAGTGCTTTAGAATAAACATGGCGTATGAGCCAGGCCACGTCGCCCATTCATAATAGTGTCACACGAGCCTGCAGGATGGAGACCTGCCAGCCGCTTCATCAATCGTACATCATCGACAAGGTTTTTCGCAAGACACCCTGACCGTAAATGAACTACCGAACTAGCACCTAGGAGTACACATCGACGAGCATCATGACAGAATCATCGACTGACCTTCCCATCTCCAAATACACCGGAGCAGCGGACGATGGACCTGTACAGGACTGGTTCTACCTGTTGGAGCTCCACGCTACCGCTGCATCATGGTCGGATCGGGAGATGATGGCCAACTTCACTGACTACATCTCCAGTGAGGCATTTAGGTTTTACCTGACATACCTATTTGAAAACGACGAATCATGGCAAAAGATCAGAGAAGAGATGATTAGCCGTTTTTACGAATACGACAAATACGTCCGCATTACCGGCCAACTGCATACAACCACACTCGGCCGTCACAGTCCACGCTCATTTCTCAAGAAACATAGCTTTCCACCAAGTTTTTGTTCATGAAAGCCGGTATTTTCAAATTCGTCGCTGCAGCACACGACAGGAGACGTTATTTACCCACCTGATGCACTTAATTCTTTGTCTCGCGTATGTGGTCTACCACCCGGTTTTCCATCACGCGGCTTTTCAAGCGCTCCTGACGCTCACCATTTGCTTCATAAAAGACGCCGTGTTCACGATAGACGAGCTGACGCACCGGGAAAACACCCTGTCAAGCCATGCTCCTTCCGCACAGGCTAATGCATCACCGTCCGGTGCACACCCACTAGACAGTCGAAGCAAAGCAGAAGGCTCAGACACGTCTAACATTGCACGTTGCCAAGCGCAGGAGCCCTTCTTAGTGAATGGCGCAGAAGAAGCCTCTCAAGAGCTTTCTATCAACTTTGAAGCATTGTTTTAACTGCCCGATCAGAATGGCAACAGCCCACAGACTACCGGCTCCGCTGGAGACCACAAGAAGTTGTCAAGGAAACTGGCATGATGTTCAAGAAGCGCTTCCACCTCAGCACATTCCGATGCAACAGAAGCAATGCCAGCAAAAGCGAGTTCAGGAATCGCAGACACTCCAACGGATACACCAACAAGGACGACGACGAAAGCTAGCCTCCTAAAACAAACTCAAGACGTGAGGCATATTCGCATAAGGTATCGGCGCCACAAATGCATTTGGCACATTAGATCAAGACTGCGCGTATATGACTACAGCTCTGAAACGACAGAAAACGACGAAACAGACGAGAAGGCACCATCTGTACAACGCAGAGACCAAGACACCATTCCATCAGCCGCAACCATCGCACATTCAAGGTGGAAGCACACTATCTGTTCCCACCACGACACACAATTTCACGCTTTCGACATCGGAACTTGAAATGCTACAGGGACTCCCACCATAGCCCATTCCTCACAAGAACTCAACCATGTCATCACCAGTGCAGATCTCCAGGGTGTGGTTATACCATCCAAAACGTAACAGCCAGCCTCGTCCACCCGAGTTTTCTTAGATATGGCCGGAAGGCTTCCCTCCGCTGTAGATTTTATGAGCGAGTTAAGGAATTCCCTTCTGAAATGAAACTACGGTGCATTTTGATATTTTTCGTTTTAACACTCTGCGTTTTTGTTGTTTTGTTAAGTGTCTGACGCGACTTCTTGCGGGGGAGGGGGAATCATGTGACGTAAGAAGGTAGCGATTGTTGGCAGAATCCGAGGAAGAAGAAGTGCTTTGGAATAAACAGGTGCATGAGCCAGGCCACGTCACCCATTCAGCATTGCGTTACACACACACACACACACACACACACACACACACACACACACACACACACACACACACACATATATATATATATATATATATATATATATATATATATATATATATATATATATATATATATATATATATATATATATATATGCAGTGCCGCGGTGGTTCTAGTGGCTAAGGTATTCGGCTGCTGGCCCGCAGGTTGCGCGTTCGAATCCCGGCTGCGGCAGCTACATTTCCGATGGAGGCGGAAATGTTGTAGGCCCGTGTGCTCAGATTTGGGTGCACGTTCAAGATTCCCAGGTGGTCGAAATTTTCGAAGCCCTCCACTACGGCGTCTCTCATAATCATATGCTGGTTTTGGGACGGTAAACCCCCACATATCAATCAATCAATCAAAACATCATAGCACCGTGACAGAGTCTGCTAGAACAACGCTGGAAAGATGAATGAAAAAAGAAAAGTAAGATGCAGTGGCTTTCTGGGCCAAGAAATTATAAGGAACGCATATTTATGTGCGTGTCGGTGTGTACTTGCAGTGTGACTGCACCTGAAAATATTAATGTCAAGACCTCAGAATTTAGAAGGAAGAAAAACGTTCCCGGAATGACATAAAGGTTTGAGAAAATTCGGGACATCTATACTTAGATTTGAAACGCACTCGATGCAGGCACTATGCCAACACACTACGCAAGAAAAAAAAGGTCTGTGAAGTTAATGCTTCAAGTTCACAAGGTGGCTTTTTTAGACTTCACTGGTTACATTACGCATAGAAATTGAAAAACAAATAGCATGCTATTTTTAGATACAAGGATTCAGCCGCATTCGCACTCCTCAAATAAGCAGCATTCTTTGTCGAATTGCTGCATTTCTAAAAAAAAAATAGATAAGCTTGTACAGCATTGAAAAAATATCTAATTCGTCATGACTGAGGCAGCATGAAAATATAAACTTTCTGATTTGTTTAATATAAAGCAATTTCCGCGTAACCTCACCAAACTTGTTCTTTGTATACTTGAAGCCATTTTATAGGAAATTTTCCAAGCCTTTATTCGGCTCTCACTTCACGTCGACAATTGAGTTCTATACCGGAAATAGAAAGCCAAGAGTGCACGGTGTGGTAGAGCTCAATTGTGGTTAGCTCAGGGTTGTGAATGGTATTTTGCAATGCTTACGGGGCAGCACGACTGAATTGTGTACTGCTGCACCTGCCATCACTCTCCGACAAGTCTAACAGCAAAGCTTTTGCGGGAGCCCCCTTCCTCTCACGTAATGTAAATCTGATAGCGCTGAAACGGCCCACTCTCCTGTCACAGTTTGCCATGGTCTGCTCGGGACTGAGACCACCCCAAAAGGCTCTTTTCTCCCGTCCGCCTGAGATCCTGCTTGATCTATACACTGCGGGTTCTAACTTGGGTCGTCTGGCCGTCAGTGATGCCTCCATTACCGCATTCAATTACCAGCGAAGAGAAAAAGTACAAGGGCTGAAGTTTTACTTTATATTATTTGTTGGAGTTTTACGTCTCAAGACCACAATAGGATTATGAGAGACGTCGTACTGGAATGAACGGAAACGTTCGGTTACCTGGGATTGTTTCACGTGCACCTAAATCTAAGCACACGGGCGTCAAGCATTTTCGCATCCATTGATATAGCCGCCCTGCCAGGACTCGATCCCGTGACCTGAGGGTCAGCAGTCGAGCATCGTAACCACTAAACCACGCACAAAAGATAATTTTTACTTTTATAAACCTCAAAAACATTCAAACAACTCATGTTTAAAGCAGCATCATGTACCTATCAAGTTGATTTTGCGAACCATTTAAGGAAACGTGCAACAATCAAGTTTGCTATGCCATCTAGATAAACATGTACTACTGCGGTGCTATTCGCGGCCTACAGAGATGTACGACTATGTCATGTGGTTTTGTTTTACGCGAGCATGGTATGATCATTTTTTACGCGAGGTTAGTATGAAGGGTTAAACTGCAGTGGAGTTGGGCTCAGAGCAATGTTTTTTTCTTCGCACATATCTTGAACATATTATCTAGCGTAGAGCGCTATGTCAGCTGATGAGATCGAATTCCTTGCTTCTTAATCCTGATTATCTTTGATTTCGTAATGATACGATATGTGCCTTCAGTAAATAGTTAAAAATAAACGCAGTTGAAAAGCATTTAAATTAACTACGTGAACACTGAGACCTAATTAACATGTATGTTTCAAGACTTCATCTGGCCGAATAGGCTTAACAGTGCTGTCACAGAGTTAATTAAAGAAGCTGCTTGGTTTATCGTCTCCGTATACCACTTCAAGCGGTTTTCACAAGAGACACAACATGCGTTGAGGAAAAAAATGGTATATTAGGGTAACTACTATATGCTCTTTAGAGCTCCAAGTGGTTCAGTACCAGTATCCATTAGGAAGCGTAGGCCCACACATACACATAGCACGAAGCCGCGTTGACAATAAGCGCACTGCATCGATGCTATACCACGAAATTGATTGACAGCATACCGGAGGAAGCCTTTCCCGCGCAGAGCCTGAGCAGGCGGCTGCCGCCCTCGGCGCTCTCTTTCTTCTTTTTAGGTTCATTGTGGTTGGCACCCGTGCTTAGCCGGTGGCGCTCTCCGCGGAACAGCTTGCGAAGCGCAGCTGCTGCCATGGATGTTGGCTTGATTGCACTGGTGTCCCGGCTTTTCAGCTTCAGGCGCCTACTGAAGTAGCAGCGCAGCGAACGGTGCACCGTCACCGCAGCATCGCCCTGCAACGAGTCAGAAGAGCCGCGTGTGAACGCCGAGAACAGCAGCAGAAAGTCGTTCCTGCGTAATTGCTCGTGCTCAACACGATCGGTACGCACATCGCGAACAGCTAAACGCGGAGTCTTCAGCTGCGGAATCCAGCTTCTTGAGGGCTCTCGAGTGCCGAGTACCGGCTCCCAGCACAACGCTTTTCTTTGGTAAGCGCTATTGGCCGGCCACCTTTGCTAAGGATGTGCCCAACATAGGAACTGGCTGATTTCATGACTATTATTATATTTTGTCTTACGAACAATTCAGTCGTTCGTCGTGTCTACGATTACCGGCCCCCACGACCAACTTAAATTCCACTACATGTAGCGTGTGGCTATGCTGGAGCTTACGAAGTGTGCTATAGCATGCATATTCTGCACGCCTTTGTCCCACAAACATAAAAACGCGTCTCGGGGTTTTTGGCTAACACTTGCGTTTTCTGGGAAACGGTTGGTGATATTGGGAGGGCCGTGGATATGTTTTGAAAACGGAATGATGGCCAGAACCAGACTGACTCTTGCTAGCTCTAGGCGGACTGCACCGCTAACAATAACGAGAGAGGGACTGGCGTAGAGAGACTGAGAAGGGAAACCCCCAGGAATGATTCGAAGGAAGGTTCAAAGCTCCCAAACCCAGTTGTAATAATAACGTACAATACACTTAAGGTAATAAACTTACAAACCTTCACGTCATCGAAGTGTTTACAGCGAACGTTTTTATACCGCAGAAAGCGCTTCGTGTGATATGGCAATATTGGGGCACCACAGATGTACATAATATATGGCGAGCCATGTGCACTTTAACTGAAACGGAGAAGTACGCGCTTTTTTTTCTATATACTGACAATATGGTCAGTCTTGCTCCAATTTTTCCAGTGTGTTCCGCAAACCTTCATATTTGAAAATATATTTCGCGAAAAATCTATATAGCGTACTGTCATGGGTATTCAGGAGTAAAATGTGTATTTGGCTCTTGTGAATTCAGACATTTAGTTCAGGCTTGAGCTCGTAAAAGAAGTTTAAAAGGATTCGAAAGTACTGTATACAGCAGTTTTTTTTTCATATAAAATTAACATTAACTTTGTGATTACGTCGGCGCCATCGTTCGTCACTTGGGTGTAATGGTGATGATTATGCTTGAAAAGTGAGTGGACCATCCCGGCAAAAGGCGCACTATTCTGGAGTGTCGACCACATTTTGTGTTATTGGTATGAATCGAAGACGCTGAATAGAGCTGCAGCTCTTCACAGTGCGGCTGAAAACCATCGTGGCCACAGTTCGGTTATAACCATACTCTCACCAGAGAAGCATTGAACATGTGCAGGCGAACACTCGCAGACGCGCACCAGCAAGATACGTGACACACCAGGGTTATGTCGTGTACATGTGAAACAATCGGTATTTTCTCGATATAAATTGTGCGTGTTTGCATCAGTATGTGATAAAACAATAAACGAAGTGATCGAACAAGACGTTTCGCCTAAAGTGGATGAGCCGAACGAGCATTTTTTTTATCAAGAGAAGAAGCAGACTTGTGGCGCATTTCTGTGTACATGCGCAAGTACAGCGTTGCTATACAGGGTGTCCCAAGTAACTTTAGCCAGAGTTAAAAAATATGCCGACACACGCAATTACGACGCGACCAATTTCATGATGCTCACCGTTGCCTGGAGTTAGACTATTTTTTGTGTTCACAAATATTATTTCATTGGGTCTGTTTAATTAACTATCTTTTGAGGTATTGAAGATTGATAAAGAACATTTCAATGAGAAAGTTGTAGATCGGTTTGAAAAAGTTCTGATTAGACCGTTTTTAGCTTTATATCTGTTAAGTATTAGTTTTTTATGCTAATTACAAATGCTCGCGGAAAAAATATCACGTGACAGACCCAATAACAGGCACAGACCCAATAACAATAATAGGCACTTTGCCGCCGAAAATAAAGTGGTCCGGACGACGGTGCCGTGCTAAGGCGAAGCTCAGCACACGTATATAATGTGCTCTTGGTTACGCGATAGCAAATATGACATAAATTTTGAGTTACATGTTGGTCCCAAAACCACCCTATGAATATGAGAGACGCCGTAGTGCGGGGCTCCGGAAATTTTGATCACTTGGGGTTCTTTAACGTGCACCCGAATCTGAGCACACGGGCCTACAGCATTTCCGCCTCCATCGGAAATGCAGCCGCCACAGCCGGGCTTCGATATATATATATATATATATACATATATATATATATATATATATATATATATATATATATATATATATATATATATATATATATATATATATATATATATATATATATATATATATATATATATATATATATATATATATGTGTGTGTGTGTGTGTCTGTGTGTGTGTGTGTGTGTGTGTGTTAGTGTCCAGTAAGTTTTCTTACTGAAATTCATGTTATTCGCTAATGGGACGCACTTTCAAAGGTCCACCCAATGCTGAAACAACCAAATAAGAAAAGATAAAGTTTGACCGAATCAGGCAGCACGTGGAATTCAGCGTTTCCACCTTCACCTTCATCAAAGATTTCTTCATTTGCAAACCTCTGGTAGGGCTCACTATAATGCAAAACTCTTCGGTTGGCCAACGCAGCTTGCCTGCAAAACCAGCGAGTTGGAGACCACGCGACTGTTTATTTCCTCGCGACGAACCGTTGCTTTATGATGAAAACGATAGAGAAGGAGAGCGAAAATAAAAATAAAATGGCGTGAACAGGATGATGGTTGTGGCAATGTGGAACGGGGAGCGTAGGAACGCGTGCTCGTGAGGCACAGAAGCTACTGTTACAGAGGGCCGAAAGATGGCGTGGCTGCGGCTGTGTTCAGATATAATCCCCCGCGGCAGTTTGCGTTGCGAAACAAGCGCGCCTCGTCTGACAAGCCTGCCGGATCTGTCTCAAACACTGATCGGCTTTTGCCAGCCAATGCAGCGTTCGGCACGGGGAGTAGCAAAGGACCGCATTAACGAGATTGGCCGACGTCACCGTGGGCTTTGAATCGCGGCAGTCACGGTGGAGCTTTCTTTCTTACTCCTTTGAGGAACGGGTAACAACCAAAAGAAAGATATAGAGAGGGTTAGATATGAGGGTCGCAAAGATTAACAGCTGCGAAATACCTCTCGCTGCATACGATCATGCCATAAGCCAAACTTCTCAGAAGCTTGCGCAACACCTCAATTGCGTCGTAGGTTTTCCCAGAATGAAATCACTTCGGAAGGAATCGAAACAATAGGCCGAGTTACCAGCTTGGCCTATCACAGGCTAGACCAGCTGTTGAAGGCACCGATGACTCGTGGTCCTAGAGAGTGCTCAGCTTTTTGGAGTAAGTCGACCACGCAGCCCTTGTTGCACTATATGTGTGCAGCACCAGAGGGTGCTTGTCAACTGTTTAGAGTGCCTCGATGTCCGCTCCTCCACTCAGAGTGAAGACATCTACTGCGGCCGCCATTGCCACTCCCGTTGCATACCGGTGTCGCTCTGGTGCGTAGTGGCCCACTGGCTTAACACGAATGGTGTTACCTCCGAGTAACTGAACATGCAGGCATAACATGCCTAGTAAAGCCGACTCATGAGCTCTACAGCTTGGCGAAAACGATGCAGGAACTACAATGGTGGAGGGAGCAGTACAAATGGTGGCAGCATCCTTAGCGGGGGCACGCTTATCGAGGCACACTTGTTTAAATTTTGCCGTAGCCGAGAGGGGCGAAGCACCGTGCAACCGGAAGTGAACCAGACAGCGTACCAGGCGTAGTTTGTGGCTTTATTCCCGTCTCGGAAATATATTGGACTGTGTGAGGAGGAACAGAAGAAAAAGTATATGACGCATGAGGGGCTGCTGCATGCTTTTCAAATGACGTAACAGTAATAGCATGTTTTTGCTTTAATATCCAGAGCGGTCTACGGGTTTCCTGTTTCGCGTACATTGCTGCAGCTCTGGTGCGCTCTGCGGTGGCGCCCTCTTGTCTGTGGCCTCGTGTCTTCTTCTGCTTTCGGCACCTGCAAACATTGTGGCAAACGGCTCAGTGCATCGGAGTTCAGCATCAGTTTACCGTGTTTAAACAGCAGTTTATACTTGTAAGTTCCCAGCAACAGAGCACAATCTTTAATTATGGCAGCGTTCATAGCAGGGGTCTTGAAATTCCCCTAAAAGACTTAGCAGCGGGCGATGATACATGACGAGCGTTAATTCGCGCCCTGGAAATATAAACGTGCAGCTGAGTAACGCCGTACACCAATGCTAGGGCATCAGGTTCAATCTGGGAGCACTCTTCTGCTACGGCCAATGTCCGAGATCTAAATCCAATCGGCCTGCTCTCGCCATTTATGCGATGAAAAAGCACCAATGCGACACCATGCGGGGAAGCGTCACATTGTAAAAGTACCTCCGTTTTTGGATCAAAATGGGTTAAGACCGGTGCAGCGCACAGAAAGTTCCTGGCCTCTTTGTGAGCTCGTTCTTCTTTCTTGCCCCAAATCCATTTCGCCCCTTTTTCTAGAAGCCGATACAACGGCGCGAGCAACGTAGACAGATTCGGCAAAAACTTGTGAAATGTGGTCATACCGAGAATTGACCGCCATTCTGTGAAGTTGCGTGAGGCTAGCGCTGGCGTTATGAACATCAACGTTTTTGTCCGGTGGATGTAATCTCTTTGCGTCAATACAGTGACTTAGTATACTGATGACTCTATAAATCTTCTTTTGTCGGTGCGAAGTTTCACGCCATGCTATTTTTGATAGCACAAAAGCAGTGCCTCAACGTTAGCGTTTGGGTACCTGCGGTGTCTGTTATGAGCACATCATCAAGATACGCTTGGGTACCTGGCAAATCCTTTTGGATCTTCTCAATTTTTCGTTGAAAGATGGCGGGTGCCGAGGCTATGCCAAAGGGTAAGCGGTTGTAGCAAAATAGTCCCTTAAGTGTGTTAATGACCACCAGCTTTTTTGAGTCT